AGCACAGTGGCTATTTGGTGTTGTAAAGACTAAAGCATTAGCATAAAGTGCGTTTACCTATTGTGGCCTGTANAGTCAGCAGTCATACATCATATCAGATAACAATTAAAATTTGAACTCCTTCCAACAATTGACGCCTTACCTATAATCTTGTTTCCGCCAAACGTTTAAATAGTGCTTTCTATGAATGTTCACGATTCAAAGCCTCATACACCGAAACGGTCTACAAAGCCCATGATTTTGTAGAAATCACCCAAATCTTGACAGAATACAAGTTTTTCTTTTGTTTCCAGGAGTTTTTACTTGATTTACATAAATAGAATCTTATTACTCACGAATACAGCAAATTCAATAGGTGTCTGTCCCGTGGGACGAGGACCGCCAATGGTAACCGACGATTAGTCAGCGCCTTCAAACGGTCTCGTCCCGTGGGCGCGCAAACGAAAAACGCTCTCGTCGTCAACGTGTCAAAGGAGTAGACGACGGTATCAATGGTACAGTAGTTGATAATTTTCTGTGACTGTTCCCAACAAAGTGAAAAGGTAGGGAAGTTCAGTCCCACAGCTTACCTCAACATATTCCTTGGCATGTCCCCAATCGCGAAGAGAGTCAAGGTTACCAAGTTCAACACACGTCTGTTGACCCAAACTTATTTTGGCAACGGACCGCGTAATTTTGCGCGTGACAAATGTTTCACCTGAAATGACCACCACATTGGTAGATATTCGTAAAAGGAAGGCGTTTTAGACCCCGGTTAGGTAGCATCTTGCCCTCACTGATTAATAGTGCTGATTAATGGCTTGAGGTGTAGTTTATCGTGCAGGTGTATAGCACAGTGGCTATTTGGTGTTGTAAAGACTAAAGCATTAGCATAAAGTGCGTTTACCTAGTGTGGCCTGTATAACCACTCAATATTTAAAACTTATTCAATTTTGCAAGCGGGAATTTGCACCCTGCTGAGCGGGAAAGATCTGACAGTAAACGAACGGCACTAAGTATTCCATCCTATAGAGCCTGATGAAAATTTGAAGTCTGAAAGTTCTTCACCTATACGAGAATAATATGATCATCTGATAAAACCTACCTCTTCTAGGGCTTTCGTGATTGAAAAGAATACCATTACAAGCAAACATGTTGTAAGCCTCGCGGTAATTGACGACGATCCAATAGGCGTACATTTTAGCAACAGCTAAGAAAATCAAAGCTCTATTCGATTGCTGCTAGTGGTGAGGAGAAAAAAGGATTCATACCATATGGTGAACGAGGATAGAACGGCGTCGTCTCTTTTTGTGGGATTTCCTGAACTTTACCGTACAACTCAGAGGTCGATGCTTGGTAAAAGCGAACCTAAAATAGGACATTAACCAGTTGGAAAGGTACTCGAAAAGAAAAAAA